ATAATAACCTCAAGGGCATCACCATGTTGGTCAAAGGAGAAAAGAAAGTTCTTTATGAGCCTTGATGGTATCTAAGAAGGTTATTTGTTATTTTTTATAAAAGAGGGGGGAGAACACAGTTTGAAACTGGGGAATTGGTTAGAAATAATAAAGCAAAGACTTCACTGTGCCTGTCTGGAAAGCATCCCCACTTCTGACATATAAGTAGCAGCAAGAGCTTAAGTTTTCTCTTCACCTCTGGGTCTTATGCATATGGGACCATCTGGCTGAGCAGCAATGATGGTAGCTGAGGTTTAAACACACGTACAACTGATACTAGAAAAGAGAAGTTTATATCACACATGGATGAATATGTAAACAAGAAAGGAGGAAAGAAGGAGGGAAGGAAGCAAGCAAGGAAGGAAAAAAATAGTCTTTGGTTTCATTAAGTAACAAATTACAATAATAATGTTAACAGATGTTGTGAGTCTCAAGAAAATTTTATAAGTTCCTTATTAATTATAATGATGGGGAGAAGTCTCTTCAGTGACAATCTAGGCTTCAAAAATTCATCTAGTTTTAGACTTCTCACCAAGATGGAGGCATAGGTAGATATACTTTGCTTCCTTGCACAACCAAAAGAAGGACAATAACAAATTTAAAATAGAAAATAACCATAACTGCTAGAATATTGAACTGTATGGAAGTCCGACAACCAAAGAGCTAAAGAAGATATATTCATCCAGACCAGTAGGAGGGGCAGAAACAACTTGGAACAAAGCAGTGGCTGGAGGACTAGGGCAGGCAAGGCAGCTACTGGCAGAGTCAGTAGTCTCACATTTGTGTGCAGATAAACCAGGAGGAACACTGGGGAGTGAGACAGATAGTGCAACCCAGGGGTCCAGTGCTGAGAAATAAAGCCTCAAAACCTCTGACTGAAAAAATCTGTGGGGGTTGAGATGACAGGAGAAAATCCCAGCCTCACAGGAGAATTCATTAGAGAGACCCAGAGGGTCCTAGAATGTACACAAACCCACCCACCTGGGAATCAGTAGCAGAAGGGCACAATTTGTTTGTGGATGGCAGCAGAAGTGACTGAAAGCCAACAGCATTGACTGAGCAAGCAGCATTGTTCCCTCTTGGACAAATTTCTCCACATGCAGTGCCACATGCAGCCAAGAGGGTTGTTCCATCCTGGAACCTAAGGCTCCACCCCTTACTATATAACAGGCACACCAACAAAACTTATAACCCAAATGAAAGAACAGATCAAAGCTCCAGAAAAACAACTAAGTGACAAAGAGATAGCCAACTTATCAGATTCAGGGTCCAAAACACTAGTAATCACGATGCTCACAGAATTTGTTGAGTATAGTCACAAAATAGAGGAAAAAGTAAAATAAAGAAAAATGTACAAGAACCAGTAATGAAGGGAAGGAAACAGAGATTCAAATCAATGATTTGGAGTGGAAGAAAGAAATAAACATTCTGCCAGAACCGAACGAAGAAACAATAATTCAAAAAAAAATGAGGAGGGACTTAGGAACCTCTGGGACAACTTTAAACATTGCAACATTGGAATCACAGGGTTGCCAGAAGGAGAAGAGGAAGAGCAAGAAATTGAAAACTTATTTGAAAACATAATGAAGGAGAACTTTCCCAATCTGGCAAAGGAAATAGACTTCCAGGAAGTTCAGGAAACTCAGAGAGCCCTCAAAATTTTGGACCCAAGAAAGCACACACCAAGGCACATCATAATTACATTACCCAAGATGAAAGATAAGAAGGGAATCTTAAAAGCAGCAAGAGAAAAGGAGACAGTTACCACAAAGGAGTTCCCATAGACTTTCAGCTGATTTCTCAAAAGAAGCCTTTCTGGAGAGAAACAGCTGGAAAGAATTCAGTATTTGAAGTCATGAAAGGAAAGGACCTACATAGAAGATTACTCTATCCAGCAAAACTTTCATTTAGAATAGAAGGGCAGATAAAGTGCTTCCCAGATAAGGTCAAGTTAAAGGAGCTCATCATCACCAAGCCCTTATTATTTGAAATATTAAAGGGACTTATTCAAGAAAAAGAAGATAAAAAATACAAACAGTAAAATGATAACTGTCAACTATCAACTGTCAACAACCAAACCTAAAAACAAAAATGAACTAAGCAAACAACTAGAACAGGAACAGAATCACAGAAATGGAGATCACATGGAGGGTCATCAATGGAGAGGGGGAGGGGAGAGAATGGGGGAAAAGGTGCAGGAAATAAGAAGCATAAATGATAGGTACAAAATAGACAGGAAGAGGTTAAGGATAGTATGGGAGATGGAGAAGCCAAAGAACTTATATTTATGACCCATGGACATGAACTAAGATGGGGGAATGATGGTGGGAGAGGGGTACAAGGTGAAGGGGAATAAAGGGGAGAAAAAATTGGACAACTGTAATAGCCTATTCAATAAAATATATTTAAAAACAAACCAAAAATATTCATCTACTTTTAAAAGAAATATTTACAAAAATATTTATAACACAAAAATGAAAAAAATTAATACTAAATTGATCAGGGCAAAGAGAAAAAAAAACACAGGTAAGACTAAGACATAAAAATCCATGCCATATAGCCCAAAGAGGTGGGGAAATGGGTAGCACATTTTGCTCTGCATCTCCTAGCAGCTAAGTCAAAGGTGAATACATGATTTATAGTGTGATGAAATTAAACAGACAACAAATAAACAGCTAGGCAGGTGGAGCACATCTTCTGATATTTATATTTAAGCACAATTTCTTCTATGGGTGCTCAAAAATGATATATATGAAATTATTGGGACTTATACATTAAATAGCTTAAAAGTAAGTGTTAGGAAGGTAGTTCTTAAAAAAACATCCATTGATGTAGTTCCATGAAAATTGGAGCAATGTGGTCCCTCTGATGGTGTGACTTGATTCAAGGAGAGAGCTAAAGCTGTAGATTTCCCAATATCTCAGGGAAGTGAGTGTAGGGGCCTATTGCCTATTCCTCTTCACCTGGTAGATAAAAAGTAGGGGAGGGGAAGGCACAGAGGTGAGCCCTGACTGCCAAACTCAGAGCCAAAACACTCAGGGCCTGGAGAATCTGACTTAGGTCAGAACCTGACCTACAGCTGCCAAGATGATCTGCTACTGAAGTTGTGCTGCTTTGCAGGATTGCATTCCACAGGAACTACTTCAAGATGGGGATGGAGACTGACCCAGAACTGATTACAGGTACAAAAGATAGCCTCAGAAAAACAAAGATAAAGCTCTGACAGCAGAGGTTGCCACTCTTATAATCTTCGATAATCTGTTGGGTACTTGAGCTCTGTAGTTAATTAACTATTCATTCAACTAACCCATAAATGTTTATTGAATCCCCTTTGTCCCAGGGGCCATGCTAAAATTTTGATTATGAGATTATCCCTAACTTCCTGGAGCTTATACCATCTCAAAGAAACATGACACAATGGGCAAGTTGCGTCAACACCTGATATCAGATCGGGTAGTGCAGGAAGCGAGAGAACTAAGGAAGGTCACCCAGAGCAAAATCATTTAAGGTGAGCCTTAAAGATGGTACGAATTTACTCAGTGGAGGTATTAATGATAGATGTAGGAGGAGAGCGTATCACCCAGAAAGTTAGAAAGAGTATGTTGCATTTGTGGAAGTGAAAGAATTTCACTATGTCTGGGATATGCAGGGATGGGGAGAACGATGGTTAACAGGGAGAATTTCAGTAATGGAAAAGAACAAAATATATAACAAAGTAAACAGAAAACAAGATAATTTATACAGGATGGGTCAAAAGTAGGCTTATAGTTGTGAGTATGTAAAACAGTTTATTCTTTTATTATTACTTATTAATTATTATATTATTTTCCATATGAACAACTACAAACCTACTTGTGCTCAACCCTGTGTGTTGGTCCTACTTTATAAAAATCAATGGCAGTCGTTTAAAGTACCTTATTACAAATAAAAACTCTCAGATTTTACATATACAAAAAACTAAACTCCAACCATATATCACTAGGTTTAAAGTTAGATATATGGAAAATACATACCTGGGAAAATGCAAAGAGGAAGGCAGGAAGGGATGAAGAAAGAGGAGGGAAGAAAAAGAAAATTAATAGTCATAAGTGTAATTCAGTCAAGGCATAATTCAAAGTACACATTAAAAAAGAAAACATAGATTTGAAAAATGCAAAGAAAACACAGAAATAAAATGTCACAGATGTTCCAAATATCAGGAACAGTGGCTTCTTTCCTTTAGTCCTGCAGGTAAAGAAGGGCTAGTTTCCTTGCAACCGATTTGCTCTTCCTATTGTCTTGAATTGTGCCCACCAGAGCTTGGGTTGTTTCTGTGCCACATCAATCGATTTTCACATAGAAAATATAGTTTTAGGAAGAGATGAGTAAAAATACTTTTAAAGAATACAATGAAGTCAAAAGGCTTCTTTATGTTCATATTTACTACAGGATTTAGAAATGTTTTAGGGACTCCAGTGGAGAGCAGTGCAAGTTTATTTGAGGAGCACTATATCTCTCCCTAAGGGGCCTTTTGGAGAAACTTTGGTCGCTGTAGATGTATTTAGCTAACTGGTAGCCAATGTAACAAGCTCAATATCGAATGGATACAGAATGGGAAATTTATGTCTGAAAGTTTATATTGGTCCTTCCTGCCTGAGGGTCCTGGCAAACTCTATTCCCTCCCACCTTGGATGATTTTACCATCTCCTATATCCATAAGTGCTGTGAACTGTGTCCACCTTTCAAGACAGCTGAACTGTCTACAACTGGGAAAGGACTTCTTTGAATCCTCTCCCCCTGGACTAAATGGTAATAGGTACTCAGTCAGTTTTATATTATGAAAAAGTGTGCTTGAGTCAAGTTGAGATCATCCACACTGGAAGAACAGAGATGATGCTGTGGTAAGGGGGAGCATGACAGTGACTCAGTAGTAAAAGGTGAAAAAGTAGGCACAGCATGGGTGGGATCAATTTGTCACCTACCTTCTGGCTCATGGTGTTCCATCTGGGCACATTCACACACACACACAGCTCTGAAAGGATGACTCCTAACTTCCTGACACAGAGCAGAACTCAGGATGGGTCAAGGTACTATGTTGGTTTTCCTTATATAACGAGGGTGGAACTGATAGTAAACAACCAGGCTGAGCAATTAAATTAAGACAGATTGATTTCATTTCACTGGGTCATAAACCTGGTATGCAATATGGTGTTAGGAGGAAAAAGCAGCCAAGTATTTGAAGACTTTGTATTTGGCACTAATAGCTATGTGACTCTGATCTCAGTTTTCATAGGTGTCTGTAGAGGTATAATAGATTGACTGGCTTTCATATCCTGTCCTATTGCCATTATAGATGCAGAGCAAGAAATCTACTCTAGTCCTTTTTCAAGGAAGGCAGGAAATTATACTAATGTTATCAAATGTTTTTATACCATTTAAGAAGGTCTGGCCTGGAGAGAGGAGGTGGGAATGCATTTACAGAGGGCCCAGAAAGGAGACACATAACGGTCGCCTCTCCCCCATGTAGATGTATGTCAACACTCCCCACCCAAGAGAGATGACCCTAGAAAGCTGTTTTCATGCCTCCACTTCAAGCTCTTCCATGAATTCATGGTCACCTGATCACCTTAAACTTAATGAGGTGAATAAGAAAGGCTTCACATTATCAACTCAAGGATGAGCTTGATAAACCAAGATAACCCTGGGCCTATGCCCTCTTCTGAGTGTCCAGGTGACTCTGAGGGACAGCCATGGGTCTACATGATACTAATAGGGTTGAGTATCTTAGCTCCTTCTCTGGTCATGCAGTCATAGCCACAGGCTTGACAATTTTTCCTGTCTCGGGGACCCAACAAAATTTATTTCCTCTCCTTTGGAATGATTTCGCCATCTCCTATACTCTTTAATTGTTGTGAACTGTATTCACCTTTCAAAACAGCAGAGCTGTCTCCAACTTGGGGAGATCTTCCTTGACCTGCTTCCCCCTGGACTGAGTGATAATAAATGCTCCATCAGTTATAATAAAATAATCCTATACAAACATATGGTTATGTGTTCATCTCTCCCGCTAGGATTAAACCACAATGAAACAGGAACTGATTTTATTCCCAGCTGAATTCCCAATATCTAGCCTAAGCCTGTATGTAATAGGCATGCAAATATATGTTATATAAATGAATACATGCATCACTGCACTTTAAAGACTTTCTAGCTTTCTGCTATGGGTCGAAGTATATCCCCCGAAAAGATGTGTTGAAATTCTAAGCCCCGGTACCTGTGGATGTGACCTTATTTGAAAGAGGTTTTTTGCCAATGTAATCGAGTTGAGATGAGGTAATTGGGGTGGGCCCTAATACAATATGAATGGTGTCCCTACAGGAAGAGCAAATGCTATGTAAAGACAGACCTACAGGAAGAAGGTCATGTGAAGGTGAAGGAAATTGGAGGGGCACAGCTGTAATCTAAGGAATGCTGAAAATTGATAGTCACCACCAGAAGCAGGAAGAGGCAAAGAATGATTCTAGCCAGAATCTCAAAGCATAGCCCTAATGCCATCCTGATTTGGGACTTCTGGCCTCTAGAACTGTGAGACAATAAAATTCATTGTTTTAAACCACCCTGTTTGTGGTAGTTAAGTACAGTAGCCCTAAGAAAGTAATACACCTGCCAATGGTTATAAGGAAAACCTTTTGACTTTGATTCTTATGAAATGTTTCTCTGAATTAAAGAGAAAACAGACAAATGCAGATATGACCCTGATTTTCTTAAAATGTTTAAAAATGCTTTCAGAGACTTAATCTGTGCAGAATAACAAGAGGTCAATATGCAAATGTTTCAGGTTTCTTCAAAATATTCCTGTTTGTGAGAAGAATAAAAGACATTATCACTGCTTTGACATTTCCAGAAAGTTTCCATTTCTAAACGCCATCAGCTGTTTAAGTCTTGCAGAGATGGAGGATATTTAAATGTTAATATATGTTTTAAAATTGGTCACTTATTGCCAAGAATGCCCTTGGAAAAGTTGCACATCTCTGTACTTCCATTTCATTTCATATAAGTGGAAATAATCAACCCTGTTTACAGTGTATTAGCATCAAATGAGATATGTAAAAAATTCTTAGAATAGTGTCCAACATATATCAATACACACTATTATTTTACCATGACTTATTTGCTAAGTACTTTACTTTAGAATCTAGTTTTAAATTTGTTTTGCCCCTCTTTTATTTTTTGATGTCTTTATCCTATACTTTTATTCTCTCATAAGAATCTTAGCTAGATTCTTGAAGTGACCATTAATTTTCCTTGTCATTCTGTTTCACCAACTTTAACCATCCACATATGCTTCCCCCCTCAAAAAAAGACAATTTACAAAAATATATAAAATTTATAACTAGGAAAAATTGAAGAAAAAATTCTCCTGGTTCCTTCTAGATCAGGAAGGAGAACAGTACTAAAGAGGTACCCTGGGGACAGAGTGCCTGAGGCTATTTTGACAAGAAATAGAGACTCAGACGACTGACTCCGCCATCCCGGAAAAAGGAGCCAGAGGAACAGTGGTGAGTGGCTGGTCATTGCACATTCTACTGATTCTGCCTTCCGGAATGACATACAAGCTTCTGAAGACTGAGCATTCTCTAGCATGCACCATTCCTTACATCCTTATGGCTCCAGCTCTCTAAGAAATCTGGCATCCCCAGCCTAACTCAGCCCATGTGTTTTCTGAATTGCCCATTCTTCCAGTCAGGATCCCAGGCTTCTAGGGGGCAAGGTTGAGGTGCCTCGCCCTGCGAGCCCAGATGCAGGCTAAAACACAACAGAAGAGGAAACAGCAAAGGAATTTTGAGTTCAACTAGGGCACTGTAGAACAATGATTTAAAAAGAAAGTTTTAATTGACTTTATTGGGGTGACATTGGTTAATAAAACTACGTAGGTTTCAGGTGTTATTTTCACTACCACTTGTTCAGTTCTTTCTTGAGTATAATAACCCCCTGAATATTCATATGCAACCTTTCTAGTGCCGTATTTAGTGCTTTAGCTTATTCATGCTCTCCGTGTGGGTGCTGGTGATTCACGGTGCCTGTTCTGGGTGACTAACGTTCTTCTTCAAGCCCCCATCCATGCTTACCCTCTTCTTAATTCTCCATGAAAGGTTTTGTTTGCTGCTTTGTTGTGGCAGTGGTGCCATTTCTTTAGGACTTTGAAAAGACACACACCTCCCAGTGGACTGAGTCATCTGAGCAGTCAATGCCATTCCTCCACATCCCTGCTTATCAGGCTTTGCTGACATCTCCAAGGAGAAGAGAGCCACCACTGCTCCCCATCGGACCTAGTTGTTGTTACAGCTTCCTGCCTCTGCACTCACTTGTGACAGGCACAATAAAGTCCCCTGCTTCCCCTAAAAAAGCCCATGTCCTCATCCCCAGAAGCCATGCACATGTGACCATACATGGCAAAAGAGACTTTGCATGTATGAGCAGTCCAGGATTTTAAGAGACAACCCTGGATTATCTGGGTGGAGCCAATATAATCACAGGGTCCTTGTGAGCAAAAGAGAGAGAGGAGATTCAGTGTCCCAGTGACACAATGTACACAACACCCAAGTAATCCTTTGAAGAAGGAGGGAGGAGCCATGAGGCCAGGAACACAGCAGCCTCTAGAGACTGGAAGAGGCAAGGGGATAATTTTGCCAGAAGGAACCAGCTTTTCAGACAGCTTGATTGTAGCCCAGTGAGACCCATTTCAGATTCCAACTTTTACAAGTGCAAGCTAATGAATTTTTGTTGTTTTAAGCTACTAAGTCTGGGGCAATTTGCTGCAACAGCAATGGGAGACAAAACATCACTTCACCATCTTTAAATGCTGCATTTCCACTTGTGTTTTCTTTACAGCTTGTAAAGTAGATAGTGTGATGATGTAATTTATTGTGCAAACCAGGACACTTTTTTTTCTGGAAGTGAAAGAAGGTAGCATTTATAATTATATAAAAGCAAACACCATGACTGAGAACATCCAGCTCAAACTGTTAAGTGCTATTGCCTTATGAACACATGAGAAAACCATTCCTGTATATTGTTTGACTCTACTTTGCACGTGTGGTTGTTTTTTATAGGAAGCATTATGAGATGAAAGAAACAACAAGCAGACAACCACATTTATATGCAACAAATGTGGACAAAACACTTTACCTTTTTAAAAATCTTCACCTGAGGATGAGTATTTATTGATTCTAGAGAGAGAGGAAGGGGGAGAGAGGGAAAAAACATTTAAGTGAGAAACATTGATTGGTTGCCTCCTGCAGGTTCCTCAACTGGGGATCAAAGCTGCAACTTGGTATGTGCCTTAACTGGGGATTGAATTCACAACCTTTTGGTGTATGGGATGATGCTCCAACCAACTGAGCAACCTGGCCAGGGCAATGGTGATATTTTCTTATTTCTAAGCCATCTTATTTCAATATAATGACTGGAGCCAGTTTCTCCTTCTAAGATGAGACTGTCTTTCTTTCCAGTCTTTTCCTCAGCCACCCTCTGATACCCTCCTGATACCTTTGCTCAGATATTCAAGGTAACCAAGGACAAATATTGAAGATTTGTCCAGGGAGGAAATTATAACATTTAAGGGGAAAATATTTTTCAATATTTGGAGCTCTGCACTATTTCATTCCTCATTATCTTCTAGATCCATTGTGCTAGAATTTTACCTTCTGTCTTTCCTCTTCTAATTCCTATCAATGATTTAAACATGAAAATGAAGCATCAGTGGATCCCTTAGAAGAAAAGAAGGATAATTAACTTGGGACCCTGGTTCTGCCTCTGAATTCACTCTAGGCTATAGCACAAAAATAAGACAGTTGATGGACCTTTGAACGTAAAAGTGATGAGAATTCCTTGAGGACTCCCAAGCTGACTGTGCACTAGTGAATATGTGTCCATAGAATAAAAAACCACAAGGCATTTGACCAATACCAACCAGTAAGAAAATGACTAAAGACTAACTTTCTGCAGAGAGAGTAGAATTAATGAATGATATAGAGGTTAATTTAAAATGATAA